CATCCTTCTGACCTCTCTCAACTTTGCTCTCTCAAATTGGCTCACATAACTGGAAAATCTGTCACTAACTTATGTGACGTGGAAGAAATAACTTCCCCTTTCTAAGCCTCAGTTTCTCCTTTTGTGTATACAAAATAATGGGCCTGATTATCTCTAATAGCCTAGGATCCAATGAAAAGAGAATGACAATGTAACTAAAAACTCAGAAGTTATGAGTAGGCAAAAAAATTATAAGTATCATCCTATCTCCCAAAGTTATTTGCATTTTAAAAGAAATCTCTTGAAAATGGAGAGAAAAACTATTACTATATAAAGAAATGAACTTTTTTTGGTGGAATTTCAGATGCAGTGGCAGGGTAGTTGGGAGATTTTTGTGTACAGTCCTGCATAAAGAACCTTCAGCATAACCTTTAGGATAAGACTCGTGCCTGCTATCAACATTGAATTTAAGCCTGGTTGGATGGCAAAGAAAAACAACAACAACAACAACAACAACAACAACAACAACATTCCTTACTCCCATTCCTTGGGTTACAGAAGAATTGTCCCAGCCTAAGGGGCAAAGTTTCAGGGGACTTCCCATTATAATTCAATTGGGCAAAGTCCCTATGGTTATGGGGAGGCCACGCGTGAACTGAATAGACACAGAGTAAAGGAGAGGTAGACACTGGGTTTGGAGAAAATAAAAAACACAGGCACTTTTCTTGACACAGATTTAGCTTGAGCTGGAGACACTATATGAGAAAACATTGCCAAAGAGAGGAAAAATATATCCCTGCAATCAATTCTTAAACCCACTGAGCTGAGAGGATTGTAAGATTTGTAGCTGAAGAGAAACCTTAGATATTTTCTGTCATTTTACAGATGAAGAAAAGGAATTGTCCAAGGCCACATAGGTGGTAAGTAGCAGATCTGGAAAGGGATACAGATATTTTTGTCTTCAATCTTGCCACCATACTCTAGGCAGGGAATCAAAATTTTCTAAGTCATTACTGAAAGTTGTTACTAAAAGTTATTTAAAGAGAAGAAGCCCCAGGAGGCATTTTAATGTCTTCTAATGGCTCCTGGGTGAGTCACTGTAAATTTCTTTCATTAAAAGAATGAGAAAGTAACAGTATGAGATCCTAGGAAATCTCCCTATTATTAACTCTTCCAGAAGGGTCCAGTCCTCTCTAAGATGTTAATACCACCCTCTCCCCCCTATATTCTTTTTAAACTTCCCCCGAAGGGAAGGATTCATAGTCACATCTTCTCAAAACCCCATATCTTGAGGGCACCAAAGCCCTTTCCATCCCAGGAACAGGACAATTTGGCCATACTCTAAAGAACAAGATAATAATAGCTAGCATTTGTAATAATACCTACGGCGTGTAGGTGGTACAGTGGATAGAACATTAGGCCTGAAGGTCTGAATTCAAATCTGCCCTCAGAAACTTACTAGCTATTTGACCCTGAATCAGATCTGATTCAATTTCCTCATCTGTAAAATGGGTTTAATAATAGGACCTGCCTTCTGGGGTTGTTGTGATGATCAGGTGAGATACTTGTAAATCACTTAACACAGTGCCTGGCACTGTGCTATAGTAAGTGCTATAAAAATGTTAGTCATTATTTTATCATGTGCTTTAAGGTTTACAAATACCATTCAATTTTATCTTCATAAAAACCCGGAGAGATAGGTGCTATTATTATTCCCATTTTATAGATGAGGAAATTGAGGCTAAGAGAGACTAAGTAACTTACCCTGGGTCATACAGGTAGTAAGTGTCTGAGGCAGAATTTGAACACAGGTCTTACTGGGTCCTGGTTCAGTGCACTATCCACTGGACCATCTAGCAGCTAGACTCCTGGCAGAAGAGAAAAACAGAGTTTAGAGTTGAATAGGAGCTTTTTGAATAAGTGAACAGAGTGTAGTGAGGCAGCTGTTCAGTGTTTGATTATCTTAGTGGTGCTAGAATACAACTATTAGGATCTTTGTAGCGGATTCCATCTCTCTGCCTCCATCTCTCTGCCTCTATCTCTGTCTCTCTCTGTCTCATTGAACTGCTTCCCCTGTGCTTTTTAGCAAAAGGAGAGACAGGAGCGACTTGTCTCCATCAAAAGCACCTCCACTTATCCCAGTTATGACTGTCACAGCAATAAAACTACTTGTCTGCTTCCCATTCCCTGTGAAGAAGGCTCTCTGTGGCTGCCTGGAGACAACACGCTAGTCTCACAACATAATCCAGGAGAAATCTTAAATGAGGATGGCTCCCTCCCACAGCAGACCTTAACTTGTTCCCCTTTTTCCCCTTCCAAATTCATTGAACAGGCCTAAGTGCTTAAAGGGAGATAACAATAAAAAATTGCTTAAAAGTCACTTCCTACTCTCATGCAGTTTAGACTTTTCTGGGGAGAGAATACATTTACTCAGACCAGATAAGTACTTCCTTCATCCCCAGGTGCCACAGTAGAGATCCTGAGGAAGAAAGGACTCCGGAAATGTTTGGGGAGAGAAAACGCTTCTGGCTGGGGGGAGGTGTGTAGGTGGGAGAAAGGGAGAGGTGTCAGAAAAGCCTACAGGAATCATTGGCAGCCAAGTGGAGCCTTGAAGGAAGAGAAGGATGATGAAGGTGGAGATGAAAGGGAGTGTATTTCAGGTGCTGGAGAGGACATCTGGGAATGCACAGTGGCTGGTCATGTAATGTTGAGTTTAGGGGACAGCAAGCATTCCAGTCTACCTGAGACTTAGCTTACTGAAAGGGGAGTCCTGTTAATGAGCTAGCTATCTACCTCATGGGAGGGATTCTAATGGAGATGACCAGGAATTTGAGGAGGTGGGGGTGGGGGATGTATGGGTATTGATATGGGGATGGGGTGGGGGCATTCTACTCAATTCAGGAAAGATTTAATGAACAACTAAAATGTTTAAGTAGCATCCTAGACTTGGTGATACATAGGTGAAAATAGCAGTCTGGGCCTTCCAGAAGCTTATTATCTACTAGGGGGATACAGTATGTATTATATTATATTGTATTCCAAAAAGGAAGTTATCAAAGCAAAGATGAAATGAGTCACAGTGTTCTAGAAGCACTTGAGGAAGAAGGTCTTTAGGAAAGGGGAACACAATCAGCTAGGGAGGTCAGTCAATGAGCATTTATTAATCACGTCCTTCATGTCAGGCACTTTGCTCAGTGCTGGGAATACACAGAAAGGTAAAAATACAGTCTCTGCCTTCTAGAAGCTCACACTCTAATGGGGAAGACAACATGCAAGACAGGTAGAGGGTAAATGTAAAGTGATCTGAGAAGGAGGGCACCAGCAGGAGGGGCACTGAAAATGCCTGTTGCAGATGGTGGGATTTGAATTGAATGAAGCAAGACAAGTTGAGGCACAGGGGAGGAGAAAGAGCATTCTAGACATGGGGAACAGACATCAGAAAAAGAGACTAGAAGGGGAAACACATTTATTAAGCTCCTATAATGTACCAGGCATTGTACTAAGTACTTTACAAATATTTCATTTGGTCTTCACGACAACTTTGGGAGATAGGTGCTATTATTATCCCCATTTTACACTCGAGGAAATTGAGGCAGACAGGTTAAGTGACATTTAGGATCACACAGTTAAAATGTTAAAGGCCAGTTTTGGATTCAGGTTTTCCTGATTCCAGGGTCAGCATTCTATACACTGGGTCCCCTAGCTACAGGGGAGCATGGAGCCTGGGAATGGAGGGTTAAGTGAAAGGAACAGCAAGAAAGTCAGAATCACTAGATCACAGAGTACCTGGGAGTAGAGTATACAAAAAAGTGCAAAATAGGAAGGGACTCAATTCTGAACGTCAAGGAAGGCTTCCAAGAGGAGGGCGCAGCTGAACTAAAACTGGAAGTAATGTGATGTTTGAGGTCTGTTGGCTGTGAGGGGGTTACAGGGGCCATGGGGTGCTATTAGCATCCCTCCGTGGCTGGCTGCACACTTTGTGGACCCAGAATGACAGGATCTGAGAGGCGGAAGGAACTTCAGTGGCTAGTAGTCTAGCCCAATCCTGGATACTTTGATTCTCCGGTTTCTCACCCTTCACCATTTATATAGCCAATTCAATTCTAAACTCTCTTCCACTCTCAATTGCCTCAGTCTCCCTTATCCTATCACTTTTCAGGCCTTGCCAACTCCACCCCCACCCCCATCTTCTGCTATTGCTTCTCCTTGTCAACTTTCAAATAGATTGGAAGGTGTTCGTGCATCAGTGCTCCATCCCTTACAAGCCTATCTTATGCAATCTCAAATGTCTTCTCATCAAAGTAAAGCAAACCCTTCATGCCTACCTGATTGATTCTCTCTCCCACTCTTCTCAGTAGCTGCTTCAAATCTTCACTTCTATCCTGTAGCCTTCTTTACCACCACCACAGTCAACCCTCATGGCTGCAGAATTTAATCCATACCTTATGGAGAAAATAGAAAGTTTAATAAGTCAGATCCCTCCTCTTGTTATCTCACAACCCTTTAATATCAACTGTCATTCTCTCCTCCTTTATCCCGGTGTCTGATGAAGCGATACCCTTTCTCACCAAAGCCACTGTCTCTAACTGTACACTTGAGCCCATTCCTTCCTGTTTTTTCCCGACAGATTGCCTGTTCCTTTTGGACCTAGCTGAAGAAGCCATCCAAAATCAATGGCTTCTGATTCTATTCAGACATCACATACTTCTCTTCTCCACCTCCTTCCCTGCCCCACCCCCAACCCCGACTAAAGCATCAGATAAAAGTTCTCTAGTTGGAGTTATTGTCCTTGTCACCCCCCTTGCCACCCAAATCTTCCTCCATTCCTGGAGTTCCAGCTTCCCAAACATCACCACATTCTTGGCTCAGCATATCATTTTTTTTTTCCACATGTGGACCAGATGGTTCCTGTCCTGTACAGGATTCCCAAGTGGCTGATTGACTGCAGTTGGACTGGGTCCTAAGCCAGGGCTAGAATATAAATACTCTCTTCTAAGAGGCCTGTGCCCTGCCCTTCTCTCCATCTCAGCACTAGAGACAGGCTGCTGTCACCAGGAGAGGGTGAGTGACTGTATGAGCTGACTAGGGTACAGGGGGCCTGGGAGAGAAATTCTTTGGGAACGTCCCCTAGAATAAGGGTGGAAATGGGGATGCCCATGGGGTGGGGTGAGACTAGGAAGAAAGATCTGAGGGCAACTGGTACAGGGGATACGGAAGGGGAGGACCTGTAAAGAGGGATCCACAAGGGGGATTTGGAGAGAAATCTAGGGAAAACTATGTGGGAAGCCCTTTCTAGGGGAAATATAAAAAAGAGGAGGGGGTTGCTATGGCATGAACTCTAGTTCCAACATCAATCTTGGCTTACCTTAGTCCTAGAGAGCTTTATGGCTTTTTTAGGGTGACATAGGATCTTGGCCTCCTCAGAGGAGGGCTGAGTTGAGCAGACAAGGAAAAGAAGGGACTGATAATGTCCCAGAGGACAGGGAGGTTTCCTTGTTTTGTAAAACACTGCAGGCTCCAGGCCATGTTCAGAGATTGAGGGGAGAGGGACAAACTTGAGATGGTAGAAAAGAAGTCAGTTCATCCCCATTCACTCCACAGGTCCACACCTAGACCAGCAAAATGGTGAATTGGGTGAAGAAATGGAGATCTGCTTCCTCCCCTACCTATACTCCTTCTCTTCATTCCAACATCCCTTTCATTCACCACCCTCAATGAAATTCTCAGGCTATTTCTGCCACTTGTCCTGAAGAAAGAATAACTGAATGTGCTTCTCAGCCGTGGCGGAGCAGGGAAAAGACAAATAACTCAACCAAAGAAATGAATTTCTAATAATATTTTTTCAGGCCCTATGGTGGAGATCTTCTGGCCCTGTCTATTGGAAGATTGCTAGATCTCTAACAATACCATACTGCTAGCTTATATTCCATCTCTGGGTAAGTTTGGTCTTTACACAGTAGAAAATAGACATCTTGCCTTTGTCAGTATTAGGGTAGTTGGACAGAAAAATATATGTATGTATATAGATAGATAGATAGATAGATAGATAGATAGATAGATAGATAGATAGGTAGATGGATGGCGGTCACAGGGTGAGTTGAAGATGAAGGGGTCATATCTGGAGAATAAAATTAAGGGGTGAGAGAGGATTATACTAGGAGAAGGAGAAAGGGAGAGGTAGAATGGGGTAAATTATCTCACAAAAAAACAGAAAAGAAAAGGCTCTTACAGTAGAGGGGAACCAGGGGAAGGTGAGAGGAAATGAGTGGATCTTATTCTCATAGGATTTGACTTAAAGAGGGTATAACATACACACTCAATTGGGTATGGAAATCTGTCTTACCCTACAGGAAAATAGGAGGGGAAGGGGACAAGAGAGTAGGGGGATGATAGAGAGGAGGAGGGCAGATTGGGAAAGGGGGTAATCAGAAGCAAATACTTCTGAGGAGGGACAGTGTCAAAAGAAAGAATAGAATAAATGGGGGGGCGGGATAGGATTAAGGGAAATAGAGTTAGTTTTTCACAGCATGTCTACTATGGAAGTGCTTTGCATAACTGCACAAGTATAGCCTATATTGAGTTGCTTGCCTTTTCAATGAGGGTGGGTGGGGAGGGAGGAAGGGAGAAAATTTGGAACCCAAAGTTTAAAAAAGCACATGTTTAAAAAAAATTTTTAAAAGACATTTAGTGGGACAAGAGAACATAATGGGACTTTTTATTGATTAATTAGCACCTACACTTAGAGATTTCCAGTAGAGTTAGAATTCATATTTCTTTGTGTTTTTGTCAAGGTATCTATCTTCATCTCATTGTGTTTGTGAGGAGTAAAATCCTTACTTGCTTGCCTTGGTTTTCCTTCAACAAATTATAAATTTGCTTACCTTAAAAAAAAATAGACATCTTGGTACAATGGAAAGACTCGGGAGTCAGAGGATCTGAGTTCAAATCTTTCCTCCAATATGTACTATCTGTGTGGCCTTGGACAAATTATTTAACTTCTCTGTAACTCAGTTTTCTTTACTGTAGATAGAAGGGGTTGGAGTAGATGTTAGACTGGGGTCCTGCTAGATCTAAATCTAGAATTCTCTGAAGCTGTGGAGACGCTGACAATTTACGAGTAGAAATATGAGCAGAGTCCTTGTAACTAATACCGGCAGATTAAGGCTTGTTATGAGAGAAAAAAATTCCTAACAATTCATTTATTCAACAATCATTTATTATATGCCTATTGTGTATAGAACTTTATGCTAAAGGCAGAAGGAGATACAAAGTTTAGATAAGATTTTTGCCCTTTCCTTTAAGGGAGCTTACAGTCTAGTAGAGGCAGAAATACTCATACTGTCTAGTAGAGGAACACACATGCAAAATGTAGATAACCATAATGCAAAATTGTATTTTTTTCACGATAAATGCATTCCAGAAGTACAAAGTGCTATGTGACTTAGGGGGAAGAAGGGTGAAAGTGGGTAAGAAAGGACATTCCAGGGAAAGTTAGTGACATAATCAAAGGCATGGAGAAAGGAAAATACAGGCACTATTTGGGGACAATAGTAAAGTTTAGTCAGAATATAGGCTTTGTGAATGGGAAGAATATGAGTTAAGATGAGGAAGGTTCAGTATTATAAAACAGGAAGGATAATAGTGAGCCACGGAAGACTTTTTCATAAAAGAGATTCTTAGTCAGGTACAAATTAGATTAATGGCCTCTCAAGTCCCTTCCAGTTCTTATCTTTTGTAATTCTGTGAATGGGTTTGGTAACTGATGGGATACGAAAAGGGAGGAAGGCAAGAATAACTCTAAGGTGTATAACACAGAAGACTGGGTGGTGCCACAAATAAGAGTGGTAAAGTCAGTTGAAGGAATAGGTTTAAGGAAGAGATAATAGCTTCAGGTTGGGACAAAGCAAGTAAAGAGGTCTAACACTTGGATGCTAGTTCATTAACTTGTTGTGCAACTTAACATGCCTTTAAATTTCAGCTTCTTTATCTCTATTGTAGATAGAAGGATGATTGGCTATTTTCTCTTGTAAGGAGGAAAAAGGATGCTAGAATGTCTAGATGTGAGAGCCTTGGATCCTCTAGAGAAAAAAAAAACAGATATTGCAAAGTCGTTTGAAATATTAATTCCCTGGATAGATTTATATAAATGTAAATCCTCTGAAAAGACTTTCAGCAAGAATGATCAAGGTTAGGTATCAGGAAGAATGTACTGACTGCTAGGCTCAGAATAGGAGAAAGGAAGCTGAGAAACTTCTTTCCTTGTCCATATCTAAAAGTGGGTGGGAACTCCAACCTGTCTGAGCTGATCTAGTATTCTAGATCATGAATTCTAGATGATGAATTCTCTGAGGAATCAGAAACTTGAGAAATCTCAGATTTGGCATATGTTTGGCAGCTAGGATGAGACTCCCTTATTCATTCCCTTGAGTGAGAGCTTCCCAGTTTCCTCCTGCTTGTGGATCAGGGTTAAGGAAACCATTTCATGAAAGCTGATGAATATCCCCTGAAAATTGATCATCTTCCAGGGTAAACATTCTGTTATTGGCTCTCACTTTTCTCCACAGTTGCATGGTTAGCATGCTATCAATGAGAGTTACTGCTACCATTGGGAGGAAGACTTGGGCACAAGGGCAGAATCCTGTCATTCACAAGATCCTTCATCTCAGGGTAGCTCTTCCTACCCACCAATACCCCAGCTTCACCATCCCAGGACACATTTTTGATCCAGCAGAACCCTGGTTTGGAAAGAAAGGAAGACGTGAATAGGTCATGGGCCTGGCCTTATGGTTTCAAGTTTGGTATAGTTGCAGAGATCTGAGCTCTTGCCTCAGGACTCTCACTCTAGTCATCTTTTCTTTCAAACCTCCCACAGCACATCTTCCCCACTCTCTAAACAGAAGCCATCACCTCATACTTCATAAAAAATGAGCCTGTAGGATGAGAATGCCTTCCTTCTCTTCCCCTACTATTTCCTTCTTCATTCTTTTCTTTTTTTTAATTTTAATTTATTTTTTTTAGTTTTAGTTTTCAACATTTACTTCCACAAGATTTTGAGTTCCAAATTTTCACCCCATCTAGCCCCTCCCCCCACCCCAAGATGGCATGCATTCTGAATACCCCTTCCCCTAGTCTGCTTTCCCTGCTATTTCTCCCCCTCCTTCCCCTTCTGTTTTCCTGTAGGGCAGGATAGATTTCTGTACCTCATTTCCTATATTTCTTATTTCCCAGTTGCATGTGAAAACATTTTTTTTAAACATGTGCTTTTTTAAACTTTGGGTTCCAAATTTTCCTCCCTTCCTCCCTCCCCACCCACCCTCATTGAAAAGGCAAGCAACTCAATATAGGCTATACTTGTACAGTTATGCAAAACACTTCCATAGTAGACATGCTGTGAAAAACTAACTCTATTTCCCTTAATCCTATCCTGCCCCCCCATTTATTCTATTCTTTCTTTTGACCCTGCCCCTCCTCAGAATATTTGCTTCTGATTACCTCCTTTCCCAATCTGCCCTCCTCCTCTCTATCATCCCCCTACTCTCTTGTCCCCTTCCCCTCCTATTTTCCTGTAGGGTAAGACAGATTTCCATACCCAATTGAGTGTGTATGTTATACCCTCTTTAAGTCAAATCCTATGAGAATAAGATCCACTCATTTCCTCTCACCTTCCCCTGGTTCCCCTCTACTGTAAGAGCCTTTTCTTTTCTGTTTTTTTGTGAGATAATTTACCCCATTCTACCTCTCCATTTCTCCTTCTCCTAGTATAATCCTCTCTCACCCCTTAATTTTATTCTCCAGATATGACCCCTTCATCTTCAACTCACCCTGTGCCCTCTATCCATCCATCTATCTATCTATCTATCTATATACATACATATAATTTTTCCCTCCAACTATCCTAATACTGACAAAGGTCTCATGAGTTACAAATATCATCTTTCCATGCAGGAATGTAAACAGTTCAACCTTAATAAGTCTCTTTCCTATTAATTTCTCTTTCCTATTTACCTCTTCATTTTCTACTTGAGTATTGTATTGGAAAGTCAAATTTTCTATTCAGCTCTGGTCTTTTCATCAAGAATGCTTGAAAGTCCTCTATTTCACTGAATGACAATTTTTTTCCCCTGAAGGATTATACTCACTTTTGCTGGGTAGGTGATTCTTGGTTTGTAATCCTATCTCCTTTCCCCTTCAGAATATTATATTTCATGCCCTGCGGTCCCTTGATGTAGAAGCTGCTAAATCTTGTGTTATCCTGATTGTGTTTCCATGACACTTGAATTGTTTCTTTCTGGCTGCTTGTAATATTTTCTCCTTGACCTGGCAACTCTGGAATTTGGCCACAATATTCCTAGAACTTTTCCTTTGGGGATCTCTTTCAGGAGGAGATTGGTGGATTCTTTCAATTTCTGTTTTGCCCTCTGGTTCTAAAATATCAGAGCAGTTTTCCTTGATAATTTCTTGAAAGATGATGTCTAGGCTTTTTTTTTGATCATGGCTTTCAGATAGTCCAATAATTTTTAAATTCTCTCTCTTGGATCTATTTTCCAGGTCAGTTGTTTTTCCAATGAGATATTTCACATTTGTTTTCTAATTTTTCATTCTTTTGGATTTGTTTTACAGTGTCTTGATTTCTCATAAAGTCATTAGCTACCAATTGCTCTATTCTAATTTTTAAGGAAGTATTTTCTTCAGTAATGTTTTGAACTTCCTTTTCCATTTGTCCAATTTTGCTCTTTAGGGCATTCTTTTCTTCATTGGCTTTTTAGACCTCTTTTGCCATTTGGGTTGGGCTATTTTTTAAGGTGTTATTTTCTTCAGTATTTTTTTGGGTCTCCTTTAGCAAGCTGTTAACTTGCTTTTCATGATTTTCTTGCATCACTTTCATTTCTCTTCCCAGTTTTTCCTCTACTTCTCTTACTTGCTTCTCAAAATCCCT